TTTAAAGATTCAAAGTATCAAAATTAGTATATGACTATACAGAAAATTCATTAACTGAAATATTTGGTATAACTCTTCAAATCACACCTTTGGTTAATGTAGCCCTTCTACAGTTTCTGCAGGAATACTAAAAGAAAATTAGGCATTTAAATGGACTGATGGAAATAAAATTTGAAGTCTTAGCAAAGCAAGGACACTTTGGTTGCTATTTTGCAAAATCAGTCATACAGTGATGATATAGGCTAGTTAAAGATTAAGGAACCATCATAAATTATCCTGAATGCAGGTTGCTATTAAGTATGTCAAGTGTAGCTGGGTTGATAAAGGTGACATTCCAGATGTGCCCATTGACTATTATTTTCAGTTTCTTCTTCCCCTAAAATATTCAGAGAAATAAGGACAGTAATAAGGACCAGCAGAGGATGAAAATTAAATAATTCCTGGAAACTTCTTGTTCTGGACAGAATTAGAATATTAAATAGATATATTCTTGTAGAAGCATAACCAAATCAGCAGTAATGTTTGCAGAAGCCAGCCCAGCACTTAGGATAGAAACCACATTTCCAAAAGGAATTGGAAGCCTGCATTGACTGCAGTTTGGGGGAATGGAAATAGTGCTGTTGGGGATCAGCAGAATGAGGAAGCTACCTGGCACTGGGACACTGGAGATTCCCCCAGGTAGGCCATGACCGGGCCAGCCAGGAGCAGGGAATCAGGGGTATCAGGGCAGTCCCAGCCCCAGGTACCTCCCTGGAGATGGAGCCAAGCTGATGCTGGTAAGGGCAGGGCTGTGGGGAGCTGGAGACCAACTCTGCTGCAGCATTGCTGGGGTGCCCCTTGGCTGCTCCAAGGAGGTCCTGAGCAGTGGGCAGGGTGGGAGAAGCCTTGTCAGGCTAGAGAGGGCTAAGTGGTAAGTGTAAGCTGCACTAGTATCTAGTGGATAACTATGCAAAGTAGTGATCTGCAAAGGAATTTTTAAAATAGTGTTTGGTGTCTAATGTAAGACTGCTTAGGGAAGCAAGTTGGAACAATTAAAGAAGAGAAAAAAACTTCTTTTGATCATAGTTAAACAATTAATATCACAGATCAATATATAATCATCAGACTATCATGGGAACTAAGATCTACTAAAAGGCATTTTCAGTAATATTTTCATAAACATAGTTAAAACCTCTCACACAGATATCAGAAAGCTCTGTTCTAACCTTTGGCATATTTCCCTTTCTCTTTTCAATGCTTATTACTTATCTCATGTTATGAGTAATCATGTTTCAGTTTGCAATACCTTTGTATTTCTTTTTAAATTAAGAAACTGGCGCAGCGTTGAATCTTTCTGTCTCTGACCAACAGAGCAGAGGAAAAAACAGCACCAAATTTTGTGTTTATCTAATTGATTCACATTGCTACAGCATGTGAGTGTCTCATCCTCTAGTGTAAGCATGTTCTTGCAGTAGTCATGGCAGAGGTTGTGGCATCTCATTGAAATAAAATGGCCACACGTTTTCTAGGGATCTGGTTTGAGATGACTTCCCCAGGTCACACAAGTTAGATCTGAACTGGTGAGCAAAACATGGGTTGGCTTGCATCTACATTGCTTAGTGGCATCCTCCTCTCTGTCAAATTAATCTGAAAGAGAAATACCTATAGCGGGTCCCAAGAAAAGAGAAAGTCCACTATTGTCCAGCTAGATTTTGCTCCCTTGACGTCTTTTATAAATTATTATAGACATAGCTGCAGAAATACACTCTCTCAAACCCTGTAGTTGTAACCTAGGTGGTGAATTGCATTTATTCTAATTGGAAATGCTTTTGTGGAATAAACCACTTGTTGTGGAGATGATTTCCTAGTAGGAAGGGAGAAGAGAGAAGCGCATCATGCTCAGCACATAAATCTCTCATTAATCTGGCATTGTCTTAAGCAGGGATTCTCAGGGGCTCTTTTCAGCACAACACATGTTGCAAATAAACATTTGAGAGAAACCTAGATATTTTTCTACTTGGACCAGTTTGTACTGAGACGGAAGAATTAAAGAAGACAAACAGTTCTTTAATCTTTATTTTGCAGAAAAACTGAAATATAAACCAACTGACAAAGGAAAAGGTCTTTTGCTATGCAAAATCCTCCTATGTGAATTTAAAATTCAACATTAGAAATTAAAAGGCCTAAATCAAAGTGTTATATTTCAAGCAATATAAGAAATATCAGGAGGTAAGGAAGCAGGAACTTCTCTTAGCTTTTATTTGTTTTCACTTGTTGTCATACAACTGAAGTTTAAAAGATCTAGTTGTAAATTGAAGGCTTTCAGTGATTATTAATACCCAGATAACATTCTTCTAATGATATCACTACTTGCATTTTTCAGTTGAAGTTTGTTGGGTAACACAATGTTTAGCAGGAATAATATATAATTTGTTGGCTGTGAAATCAGCTGAGTATCTTTCGTGTTTCTTAAATTTTCTTGTTAGATGTAAAAGCCATCTGACTAAAATGTACCTGGATTTTCTTCACTGTTGACAAGTACAAGCAATTGTTTCTTTACAACAAAAAATATCTAATGTTATTAATTTTTCAGAATGGTCCATGCATTTCATGCCATCACAGTGAATTTGTGAACATGCCTTTCTGCAGTATGGTATTGGAATGCCATTTGTATGTTGATATTTGGGGATTTGAAGAACCTTACTTCTTAAATTCTACAGCAGTTCTTTATTCTGTGTATTTCTTACCTAGCAATGTAACCAATTTTTAATTGTTTCATACTTTCATAATTCCAGTTATTAATGCAGTGATTTTTGCTGGGATCTTTATCTGATATACTTTAACATACATTTGTGGAGGTAAAAGGAGAAAAGTAGGACGGAGATTCTCCTGATCTTTTTCAATTTAGAATAGTTTTGAGTTCCTTATATCTTCATAGACTCAGCAAATTTGTCATTTTCCTGTTACCATTTGCAAACACTAGCACTTAGAGCTCATTTTATCACAAAAGGAGCCTACAGCAAGAGGAAACAACTCCTATGGTTTCTGAAAAATTGGAATACCAGCAAACCTAGGCTAGAATGCAAGAATACTTGCTACTCTTTGTTTTTAGGAATAAATCACTTCAAAGAACATTTTTACTTCATAGGAAGTTTGGATTCCTGGCATTTTGCATTGAGTGAATTATTCCTTTGTTAATAGAATACAGTGTTATTCTAAGGATAAGAAATGATTAATTTTGCCAATGGTTACTGTAAATGAAATGTGTAGGACTGTTCTGCTGTCGTATAAAGGCAAAGCCAAACAGTCAGACTCTTTTTCTGCTTCTTTTTTTCTTCCATTTTCAAAGCAAAAACAAAACCAACAACAAAGAAAGAATAAAGGGTCCACTGTGGTGACTCAGTTGTGTTTTGGATCTGTTCTGTCAGATCTTCTTGTGGCTTGCATATAGTGCATTGACTGATTTATATGAGCTGAAAATCTTAAATTTATTAGATTTCACCTCTCCAAGGCCCCCTACAGTACAAGATATGAATTATGTACAACACCATAATTTCATGGATTTAATACACAAGATGAAAAATTCCATCAAGTGCCATATGCTTACTGCTTTTACAAATAGCAAGGTAGATAGTTTTAAAGGCAAGACAGAGACCTGCAAAAAAGGTACGAGTAGCATGTGAGAAAATAGCAGCATCTCTGTATCTTATGTTTTAAGTAAGAAAAAAGATCTTTTCTACCCTACAAGTCTTATTTCCTCTCTATCCAATCCTGAGTAGTTTTTGAACTGAGAGTGAAAACGAGCCTGGAAACTGACACCTTGCATTCCATTAATTAAAAATAATATCTGTCATTCTGCTTCTGTTTTGCTCAGATTCTGTATAAAAACTTAGTAATGCCACATTGCATATACTGAGAAATAGTCAGGGCAGTAGGATAAGAATGAGTGTCTTCTTAAACAGAAAGTTTCCCTTCTGATTTTACATCACAATATAACTGCACAATACCCGAGGCTATTCATTTCTGCATTTTCACTTTCTTTTAATTGTGCTTCTGAATAAATACATTCTGTTCTCAAGGTCATTTCAAAGAAAAAAAACAAACCCACAAAACTTTTCAGTTTATATAAAAATCACCCTTCCTTATCAGACAACACATGTTCATTTTTAATCTAAACAGGCAATTCTTTGAAGTCAGGTTAGAAGCAATGAGACTTAATCGGAAGCTGTTTCATGTTATCTTATGTTATAACCAGTATATTTAGTGGTTTTTCCTTCCCCCCCAAAAATAAATCAAAGCTTTATTCTACTTAAGGAGGGGGTATAATATATTTAATGAATATTTCACAGCACAAACTGTGTGTTATGAACAATAAAAATGCTGGAAGTATCCGTCAAACTTCATTATTTAATTATAAATAATTTAAATATAAGCAAATTATTTGATTTTCTAATTAAAAATAAACAAACAAAATCCAAAGAAAATGCCTGTGTTTTGCTGTAGGGGAGACTAATCCTGGACAGACATTTGCCTCTGTCGCACTGTGCAGTTTCTTTTCACAGTAAATGATGTTGTCCTTGCAGACACGGAAGAAAATGTAGGTGGTGGGACTGAAGTACCATTGAGGCAAACAATCCTCAGTGTGACTTCAGCCAGCTTAGTGCTTAAGACAGGGTTTCTAGCAGTGAGTGCTGTAAAATAACTACTAGAAGGACTAAACCCTAAACTAAATAAAACAAAAACTACCCCAGGTACTAGAATATTCTTGATTTAGTGAAGTTTTCTAAAATGGATGTAGAACTAAAGAAATCCCAGTTTAAGAAATCAACTATGCTGGATGGAAGTAACCCTGAACAAAATGATTGGGTTGCCAGAAAGAGCACGAGATATGATGGCAAGAGATGGAAAGGGTAAAAACTAAGTAGAGCGGTGCTAACAGTAATTTAGTTGTTATATCTTATGTGCAATAACCTTTAATGAAATGTAATAATTATTTTATATGATTTTTTGTGTTTCTGCAGCTGCATTCCAACTCCGACAAAGGTGATGGATCAGTCAAATACATTCTCACTGGAGAAGGGGCAGGGACTATATTTATTATTGATGACACGACTGGAGACATCCATTCAACCAAAAGCCTAGATCGAGAGCAGAAGACACACTACGTGCTTCATGCCCAAGCTATTGATAGACGGACAAACAAGCCACTTGAGCCTGAATCTGAATTTATTATCAAAGTGCAGGATATCAACGACAATGCACCAAAATTTACAGATGGACCATACATTGTTACTGTACCAGAGATGTCTGAAATGGGTAAGGAAAAGGAACTGTTCTATTCAACAATGTTTTAGTAAGTGAAAATGCCACTACATTTTGTCAAAGTTATAACGCATCCTCGTATCATTGATTGTACGTTAAAGATATTACAATTAAGAAGAGATGATAAGAAAACATGAAATGCAACCTTATATGTTACTTGTGACATTCATATTAAGCAAACAGTAGTAGTTTCCTAGATGGTGGTTTCCTAGGTTATTTGAGACATATATTTATTTATCTTTAGTAAAGTTCTTATAAAGTGAACTGAAGTTCTAAAAAGTACTGATCTTTGGTTTTCCTGGCTATGTAGTTCAGATATTCTTTGAGGTAATACATTAAGCAATCAGGTTTTTTTGTTTAATACTTCTCCAGTGTTCTAAGTATTTTATAACTTTCCCCTAATAGAGGAATTGCCAACAAAAATTTATGTAAGTATAGAAGGCCAATATTTTTATGGATAATGTCATAACACCTTTGTGTGAATTACTACAGTGAGTGCACAGAGCTTCCAGTAAAAATATTGTGAGTCTGTACAAAACCTCTTCAACTGTCTTTGATAAATCACTGTGGCACAAAGCTTTACTGTTAGAGTTGCAGTTCATTTCAGTAGCATCTAAACTTTATCTCAGTTATCTCTCATTACACCACAGACTGTCTTAATGAGAAATTAATTTCCTTTATCAGCTATCTCCAAAAATGTGTAACTCCATCCTTCTCTTTCTTCAGTTTCCTTTTTCTTTAATGGAGACCCTTTTAATTGATTATTTCCTTCCCCTTTTGAAGCCTTTTATATTCTGCATGGGGGAAAGACAGTGGAAAGGGGATCAGTATGATCCTCAAAATCAAAATTAGCTAATAAAATTATTTTCATTTGTATTCTATTTATAGATGTTTTCTTTTTTTCTTTTTCATCCTTTCAAAATGCAGCATTCTTACATAAATGTTAGTCATAATTCTGCAGTAATCTGAACTGTGTATTACCATGCAACTACATCATGTGAGTTACTGTTTCCCAAAGAACAATTTGAATAGATAGTCTGAAATAGTATTTTGGGTTATAAACCAGAGTAGATTATGGTAAAGCAATGAAGTTTTAGTGGTAAAATAAGGCATTAATGCACATGTTTTATAAATAAAAACTTTACTGGTTGTACCTGAGGCAAGTCATTAAATATTTATTCCACAAAGCTTTTGTGTTCTGTGAATAAAACTGAGTTTTTATATCCCATCAGGTATGCATATGTTGTAGGTATACATTATATTTTTCACTGCAAATTTATTATCACTATCTTTTTCTCTCACTGATTTGTTTGTATTTGTTGCATACTGAAAGAACTCTATTGCCTGCAATTTCAGGAAGACTGATTCTATTATTGTTTCCACGGGATACATTCTTTGTGTCAAATTATGGAGATACCTGTGCCACTTTCATTTGTTCTGTAATTAACATGTTTTATGACACTTAGCTGCAGAGTATATACATAACTGAACTTCTTGATGTTATTTTATGAATTTCTAAGGATGCTTCACTACTTCAAAAATTTCTTATGGTTTTCACACGATCAACATGACCTTTCAATGTTACTGTGTCTCTGCAACAGTCCTCATGCTGAATGGTGGTATTTCTGATCTCCATTATGTTTAGCATCAGCAGCAGCTTCTTATTTGTCTCCTCAAGATGTTAGGTGGTATTTCCCCCACAATTTGAACTTTTCTTCATCTAGTTGTAAAAGCTGTAGGACCTTTATGGCCTTTCTTTTTTTCTAAGGTCACTGACAAGAAAGTACAGGTAAGTTTTCTTAAATTTGTTGCCAAATATTAGATCACAGTGTTCACCATGACACAAAGTGAACATACTTTATTCTTTATGTACTATTCTGAAAGAGCTGAAAGAAAACACCTATTCCTTGCCTTCGTTGAACCTTTTCCCTAAAAGTTGGCTCCAGAACCAAGGTTTATATCTGAAATTATTTCTTCTGCAGTGTAAAAAACTCATTTTCATTGACAACTCTGTGGCCTCTTTTAAGGTTTATGAAAGTCATCTTTCTGTAAATTAAAAGGAAATAAGAATATATTTTTTAATCAGTAAGACTTTCATATGTGTTAATTGTCAGCTGCAAAATGAGTGAAACTGCATATTAAGCTTTTAATGCTGAGGTAATTTAGAGGTGGGATTAGATGGTCTCTAGAGGTCCCTTCCAACCGTAACCATTCTGTGATTCTGTGATAAGAATAGCATTCCCAATAAATTCTACTTCAGAAATTAACAGATATAGTGGATTTTTCTGAACTTCTTTCCAGGGTATTATAATGCGAGGCAACCATAATTATGGATAATCTGGAAGACTATTCATGTTGTTCATAAACGTGATTTTTATTAGAAGTGCCTATTTAACTTCACGTGTTGTGAAATTAAATCACATTTTGTTGATTCATTAGTGTTTTAAGACAATACCAAGAATTCAGTTGTTAGGCAGGAAATCCCTGTGTCCATTAAACTTCACATTCTTTTCACTTCTTTTAATTTTTATTCCATACTGATCCATTTGAGATTTTAACAGTGCAGCGAACTATGGAAAGTCAAGCATACAGATTTGCATTCTCAACAGACATATTTTATTAAACTGCCTCATTAAACATTAAAAATTTGTCTTCAGAGAGACAAATTGAAGTATTTCCTTTCATCTTTTGTTTGATATATAAAACTAAAAAATTTTTATTGCAAACATATTAAAAAAAAGGGAAAAACAAAGGAATACATTTTGAATAAAACGACAGTTTGGTATCCCAATTAAATAATCTTTTTTTTTGACACAAAAAAAAGGCAAAGCTTACAATGTGGTGTTCAGAGCATACAGACATGTTTTATAGTTCTATATAAAGCATTAATTAAGGAAACAGAATTCCCAATATGTAATCTCTGACATGTAGTGGGAAAGCATGTGTAATGGAAGTTATACTCTGAATAAGCAGAGACTCCACTTTGAGGAAAAAAAGTCCTTTTTATTGCCTAACTGGAGTGACAAATTGCTTTCATAGCAAAATTTTGAGTTTTTCTTGACAAGCACTTTCACAGTAAGTTAGTGAAGAAAGATTGGAAGGTATGCCTCTGGGTCAGATATTCATACCTCTCCTGCGGTCTCCGGAGAAATTAGACCCTTATCTTTTGTATCAGATTATTTTTTTCAGACTTGTTAACATTTAAAATAGCAAGGTAGCTATACTTTGTACTTCTCTATTTAAATCCTTCATTACACGTAACTCAACGACAAAAAATCATGCTGCATCTAAATGGTACAAATGTATCCGGAATTACGATTTGTCTGTCGTGCTGATGAGCCTGAATGATGCTAGCTTTGAAAGGAGTAGTTGGAAGGCAAAGGTACCCTCTTTACCTTTTTTCTTGCAAGGCATTCTAACCCGCAGCTTTCACAAGCTGCCTTTCCTTGGTGCTCAAAAAATCAGGCAAGCGTTAGGCAAAAGGCCCACGCGAGGATATTTTACTAAATGTTGAGCATGCTTGTGTAAGATAGTGAAAAAATTAAGCTTCACTGAATGAGAGTTTGAGCGGTAGGGTGGGAGTTTGAGTTAAAATTTGTGATTCTAAGTGTTCTTTTAGGTAGAAAGAGAGCACTTTTCCACTATTCAATACTAAATTACTATTATCAGGTGTGTCTTGAGAGAGAGATACAGTTGTATTAGAAAATCACTGTGGCAAATTTTAAGGTACAATGGCATTCCATTTATGCTAAAATGACCTGTCAGCTGCTTATGTGAGACATTCCCTTTTACCGTTCCTGTTTTTGTCCCACATCAATGAGCAATACAAGCTCTCAGATTCTTTTTTTACCTTTTAAAATAAGGAGAGAGAAAAAAGTCTCCCAAGGATGAGAGAACTATGAAATCTCAGTATTTCTGGTACTTTCTTCTGAAATAGCCAAAATCTGTTCATCCGTTTCAATTTTCTAGAATTCTGGGGAAAAGTGCTAATGGAAACTCACCGTGGTGGTAACTGTTTTCCTGGAAACAGGAAAATCTATAGATAAAAGGTTATGGAAGTTGCCCAGCATTCTGGATAGCAAACTCTGGTAGGTGACTGACTATACCTCTTTTCGCTGTATGCAACTAAAAAAATAAAATAAAATCATTGTTTATCAGTAACCTATTAGACTTCAATGATTCCACTAGATTGAAACATACAAGTTCCTTTCAAATTAGAAATTATTGGAAAACTGGGTTACAGAAATATATCATTACAGCAATTCAATAAGCTATAGAATAGGGGCAAAAATGCATTTTCTGTTCTTTGAAGCAATCAGAAGTGGTTTGCAGGAACCCTTATTCTGTTTAGATAGCAAATAAATACAGCTGAATAGATTCCTAGAACAGTTGAAGACAAAATACACAAACTAATTCATATTTGTTTACCTTTCCATATAAACACAAATGAAGTAGTAAATTTACTTTTACCATTAATGTCTGAATAACTATGTACAGACTCCAGCTCCAGCTCCAGCTTGATTTTAGTACAGTATTCAACTTCAAATTCATCAAGATATCCTTATATCTGCTTTGTGAATGTATTTATCTATGAGACTGTATGCATTTGGGCTTCTCAGAGATCAGAAGACACTATATTTATGTATGCAGACACATTTGCCATACGTTTTACTAAGTCTCCAGTAGAGATAAAAACAGCAATTCTGGGTATCCAAGTTAGCGTGGCACAAGTGAGAGAAGAGTTTCTCAAAGAGTGAAGAAAGTGTGAAGATTTGCATGCTTAGTTTGCTAGACCTCAAGTGAGACCCGATGATTTTAGGTACTTCAATTTTCACTGTACGCTGAGGGCGTGCACATCAAGAAATAGTTCTGTGCAATGGAAATTGATCTAGAAGGGTAAACATTTCTAACTGAGGAACTGATGGCCCCACCATATGTTTTTGGGAAATCTTATTTCAGATTAGCTCTTGTCTGATCTCTGAGACTACATGCCTATTAGCAGTAAGAATAAATCAGGTGTGCTGCTAAAGCACATCTCCTGGTTTAATTTCATCTGCAGAAATCTAGTCAGTATGCTCTGAAACTGTTTCATGAGGTGAATCAAAGTACAAGTAGAGGAGATCAAGGGCTTCAACTAAAAAACATACTTCTCCTCACAACTAAGATGTGAAATTGAACACCCCAGAGTGGAGGCAATGCCTCAGTGGTTAATTTAGCAGAGAAGCCATTTTCAGATGCAGAGTTATATGACAGCATCCTGTTCTGTTATTATTATTCTTGTATTCTGATGGTGAACCAAAGGAACCTGTAGAAAGCTGTGTCTGTAGAAGGATAAACAAATGGAATGAAGGCTGAACCTTTACTAAAGTGCAATCTTTCATTTACTGATTAATTATGTGAAGTGTTTGGCAGTGATAGCAAAAAAGATTCATCATTAAACATCTTGAAAATTACAGTAAAAAGTAAAATCACTTGTCTCTGTTCTATCTGTGTGGTACTTACACATTTTATATTCTAAAAAATGTTGTCATAACTTATCCCACCTTGTGACATTCTAGAAACTGTGATTTTATTTTTCTAGTGGTTTTTATTACTAGCATAAAAATAATTGTCTTTTACTCCTTATCTTTCTAATTTGGATCCTTAGCAAGGTTCTAGTAGTTTTTGGGATCTTTGATGCCTTCCAATAGCTAGATTTTTTATTCCCTTAGCATCTTTTATTGATATGGGGGCATTTATGGAAGTTATTTTAAATACTTCAACATTAATTTGTATTGTGGATGAAGATAATCCTGAAGTCCATAAATTTGAGCTATTCAGAAATCAATATCCAAGTTTGAGGTCTATGTGTGTGAACATGCATAAATATGCATGCTATGTAGTTACTATTTATGTTTATATGTATGTAGTTAATTTACATATACATATATAGAGAGAAAGACAAAAAGGATTTTAACAAATTAGTATAATTAGTTTTCCTTAAAAATATGGTAGTATAATAACAAATAGAGAAATATTATTAACCTCTCAATTGTAGAATGTGAGGACTGTGGAGGTTTCAAAAATGCATTTGAAATACTTGTCATAAAATTATATTTATTACCAATGAATTTTTATTTTCCTGTATATACAGGTACATCTGTTCTACAGGTGACAGCCACAGATGCAGATGACCCCACATATGGAAACAGTGCCAGAGTAGTGTACAGTATTCTTCAGGGACAGCCATATTTCTCAGTTGATCCCAAAACAGGTGGGTATTTTATATTTCTGTCAGTGGGATTTGGCTAATATGTTGCAGTTATTTAAGTCTGTTGGGTGAAATCCAATGTACAAAATGCAGGTGTGTGGGATTTTTGTTTTTTAATTCCTTTTATATCCTACTTTTTGCTTTAGCACTATGAAATTTAGTAGTTGCTATGTTTTGCTGAGTACTAAAGTGAGCCTGCTGTGTACAGAATTAATTCTGCATCATGTCATGATGTTAGCCATTCAGCCAAACTGGAATAGCACTCTTTCATCTTTTCAAGCCTCTGATTAGGAAGTGACTCAAGTATGCCTAATACATTATGATTTTAAATGCTTAGGAGGATAATTGAATGTGTCCTTCAACACATATAGCACAATAAATTATTATCATTCTGTATTCTATGATTTAAGAAGTAGAATGAACTGAAATATTTATGCTTAAACTTTATGCATCACCATTTCCTTTTTTCCACAAACTGTAGGTTATGTATAATGTATCCAAATTGGTTTACTTAAAGGCAGAAGAAATGTCTTTTGAGGTTGGGAATTGTTAGTAGTTTTGAATTTTCTGAAGAGGATGATCTTAAATATTAATATGATTATACATTTTTAGTGTGTATTCCTAGTCCTTAATAATGGGGAAATATAATTTTAAAAAGTACATTTCTTAATCTGAATTTTGTAACTGTTTTTCCTGATCTATATCAAAGCTTTAATACTGAGGGGGACAAATGAAATACACTTAACAGTGTATTTTCCCCTAATTAACTGTAGGGAATAATAGTGATTTTTAAAATACGCAGAAGTGAAGTGTAAATAGTTTTTATTTTAATGTTCTTGTGTTTAAGTTTCTTTGCCTGTGTACATTAATCTCTGTGGTACTTGGAGGTATGCCCTTGCTTCATTACAAGAGAAGTGTATCTGTGCCATCTCAGCTGACTTTGAGGTTAGTCCTGCTTTGATTAGGAAACTGAACTCCATGATGCCCTGAGGAAAGTCTTTCTCAATCTAGAATGTTCTATAAATTTGTGAGCTCATGTTAGCAAGGCCTAAGAGTGCAAAACCTGACAGGATCATGTTAGAGGACTATATAAGGTGCTGGCATGGAAACCTGAGGCAGGCCTGTTCATATATACTTCGTGTTTTGCGAACATCTGCTGGCATGCACCTTACCCAGCCATGTGTGAGTACAGTCTGGCAAAGTACTGGGTGCACAGGTGAAAACCACTCTTGGGTACATGTTAACAAGTAAGAGTTATGGAAAATCAGTGGTACAGTCCTCCAGCTCTCTCTGCCCTTGCGTTACTTAGAAATGAAACCCTGTTTTATATTTCTACTTCTGTTTCAGCACTCTGAGGCAATGGTCTGCATTTTTTATTTTTATAATGGTGTGGAACTTGTAGTCTGAAGCTGCTATTCAGTCAGTGAAGAATTGTAAGGGATGTTGTCAATATCAAGTGTGTATCACAAAAGAAATAGTACTGTTACATCACTGTATGTCATAAGGAAAGTAGATGGGAGTGTATTTCACTCTCAAGCCTTAGGCTTTGACAGGGATTTAATAACTCTTTATGAACTTAAACTTTTTTTTAATATTTGTCTAGAACATGAAAATTATTTTGATACCTTAGTATATGAAAATGACAAAATTAGATAAGTAGACAATGAAACAATTAAAAAACAGGAGAAAGCTTTTTGGGTTTTATAAGCTGTCTTTTTATAATTGTAGAATAGCAGGTAATTTAATTTGGCATGATATAATGGAAAGAAATAGAATATTGGAAATGATGGGAAAGTCTTGAAAAATAGTTTTGCACTATGAAATTTCACTTTGAATTTCTGGGGTTTAAGACTCATTTTCTAAAAACATCACTTCTGAAATACAAGCATTTCTGTGACCTACTTTTCCTAATACCTCAATTGTTCAGTTCCATCTTAACTATATTTTATCTGGATGTCCTATGAATTTACACTATCATGCGCAAACTTTCTTTACCACAAAGAAGGACCAAAAGAAGCAAAAAGGGAAAGAGAAAGGTCCCAGTATTCATGACTGAATATAATGTTTTTGAAGCCTAAGGCTATTAACAATCAGTAGAGCTTCTTGGAGCTATCAGAAGCAGATATCAAGGTGTTTATAGCTCTAGTGTGATTACTCTTGTAAGAAGTCTTCTACCTTAGTGCTGCCTATATTTGATTTTAGACAACTTACTATATTAACACTTTAAAGTTATAGATTTTTAGAAACCTAGAGTAGAATAGTTTAAAAAAGATTATAGAACTCATGCATTTAAAATATAACAAAGGGCCAGCACTAAATTACAAACTCTGAAGTAGAAAAAATTGTGTTCTTGGCAGAAGAACATCTTTGTTAGCTTATCTGATAAAAGGCTCTTCTCCACATACCCAAAGTCGGACAGAGATGCAGTGCAGGGAGAGTAAATCCCCGGTTCTAATTAGACTTAAGCCCAGGCTCCTCCCAGGGCTGTCCCAGGACAGCCTCAGCCCCATGTGCCAGGACTGAAACATATCATGAGGAGTCAAAAGGAAATGCTGCCCTGATTGCTCTTCAGACTGAGAAGTACTTCCTACAGGAGTATGGGACACATTACGGGATGCAGGGAAGAGCTTCATGGGGTTGCATAGACTTATTCTTGGATGTTTAGAGAAAGGACCACAGGTAGGGAAAGGGAGGGATTGAGATAGATTAGAGAGGGAAAAGCAAATGAAAATAGGGGGATAAGAAGATAAAAGGGGCCATTCGTGTGCAAACAGGCTTTACTCAACACCATTGTTTGGTTATACCTTGTCCTTGATCAGCAGTTTGTCCTGTGTCTTATTATGCTCCATTTCTAATTTTTTTCCTGAGTAAAGGGTCTCTCTTGTATGCATGTTTGTATGGAGGTTTAAATCCCAGCAACTGGAGCTGGACCATGAGTCTGTGAGTCTGCAAACTGGAAAATGCAGACTATGTGTGTATTGCATGGGTACCTATGCCAGTGTAGGATCACTAAAAGGTCTCAGGCTAGAGTAGCCAGCAAGTTGGATGAGTGGCTTGGATTATGGATATCCACGTGGCCAAAAGTCCAGACTAGAAGGCTGATGAGCCAGCTGTTGAAGGAGCCAAGAGTTCTAGATCAGTCTGGAGACACTGAGGGTTGAATGAGACCCCTGTTTGTACCTCTGTGTCTCTGTGCGTGAGTTAAGGGGAGACCAGGGAGCCAGGAGCCAGCTCCTGGATAACCTCAGTGCCAAAGCCAGCTACTAGGAGCTCATAATGTGTATGTGGGGATATCATTGGGCACTGGGGGCCTGAGAGGTTGAGGTACTGTTACTGGATATGTACAATGTAAAAAGCTCTGGGGGATCAATAATTTACTGGTTGAGTGGGGATGTGTTAGCATGTCCAGGATTAAAAGTGGGTCTGTACCTGCAGCTGGAGGTGAGCTGCAGGCCTCAGAGTTGTCTGTCCAGATGGCACCAAGTGTGAAGTCTGGGGATGCAGGTGCTGGCTACTGGACAGACTGAATGTCTAAGGCAAGTTACAGGAGTGATTCACGTTGAGTATGTGAGCATCTTTCCAGTTATAAATCATCCGTCCTCCTAGTCAGCCAGAGAAGAATGAGGCTGTTTGTGCCATGTGTGTTTGAGTGCTGAATGGATCTATCTGTGTGTCACCTGTTGTGTGTATATGTTGCATCTGTGTGTGTGCCTTATGGGAACACCACTTGACCTCATTTTGCTTCTAAACCATGGATTAAAAATAGGGAGCTGCAGCAACCTCATCTCCATCAGGCTACCAACAATCTAGTTTATCAGTTGATTGGCTCTTGGACCTGTGTTTTGCTTTGTTTTGTTTTCCCCTGAGGAAAAATTGTAAACTCTGTATGTAGAAATTTGCTGCAACTGTCATTTTGGCCATGAATGTCAGAACTATTGTCCATGCATAACCTAAAGTTTTAAGACTTCGAAAATCTTTTGAATTCAAAACCTTTTTAGGAAGTGTTTTGTACTTGTGTTTATTAATTTCTTTTGGTAATTAGCTGTGGGGTGTAATACTAATTAGTTATGTAATTAATAATTACCTGCAATAGCCTCTATTGGTTCATGTTAGTGGCGGTCTGGAAAATAAAAACTAAACACGATCCCAGTCGGGGAAACTGGAATCCTTTATTGGGCACGAGAACACAATTTAAAGGCATCTCTGGCTGGACATGTTAATGAAGGGGACGGTGCTATGTTAATTGGGGAGTTACACAAGTTTTTACTGCAGTTTCCACATAGTTAATTTTTTTCCTAGTAGGATTACATGAGAGATAGAGGGATTACAGGGGTTTAGACATGGTCTGATACAATCATCTCAAAAAGTCCTTTCTGATTTCTGCTGGAGCCAGGCTTAATCCATAAGGTAGAACTTTAACACCTCTTGTGAGAAGGGTCCAGCTCCTTCAGATCATGAGGTTTTTGTCAACCTTTGTTTTCCTTTTGCTGAAAGCTGGGTTTGGGCTCCCACACGTTTGCTTTCCATCTCAATTGCAGCAAAACATTTTGCTGAAATGTTATAAAGTATATATATATAAGTATGTACTAATAATGCTGACAAAAGAGAGAGAAGAAGTCAATGTCTAGATCTCAGGTATATTTGCAAGGATTATGTATATAGGATTATATGTTTTTTATAAATCAGAATATTCAGGGAACACCAGAAAACATGATATACTTATACTTTTAGCGTATCATTAACTTCACTGTAAAAAGAAAATAAATTAAAAATTGAAGTTATTAGTGAGGAGTAGAGCTAATAATTTATTCATATACTTAGTGGTTTATTATGGTTCCTCCTTCCCCCACTCCCACCTTTTCACATACACTTTCCCCACCCCCCCATTCCCAAAGCTTGAACATCTTTTGAAATGCCCAAATATACAAAAACTTTTCCTGGGAGTTTTAATTGGAAATTCAATATCCCACCTTTCCCAAACCATGAGGTCTTTTGATCCATAA